AATGCCTAAACATGATATCTAACATGATTGACAGCTTAACTACTTTATCACATGGTGAGAACACGGATATCAACAAAGTAGAACCACTATACAATGTCGTGGGAACAACAGAGCCTCAATTCACATGGTGCATGCCCACACGCCTGTCACCTATAATGTGCGTCACCTCAACACTAATCACATAACACGTATTTCAGAGTTTTATACCCTCAACTCCAAGATTAGAAGAGTTACTTACCTCGAACAAGCCAATTCCAACATCGAGCAAGCCAAGCGATGCTTCAAAATGCCATCCCACGCGTTCCAATCTCCGAACGGCTCGAAACTAACCAAAAACAACTCAAATACATCAAACAATGCTAAAGGAACCAATCCCTATCGAAAAAATCAAATCTTGAATCAAAAGCCTAAAATCAGCCAAAAGCCCAACTCGGGCGGACACCTCGGAACCCAACAAAATTTATGAAATTTAATAACCCATTTAATTACGAGTCCAACCATACTAGTTTCACTCAAATCCGACTCCAATTCGATGTTCAAAACTCAAATATTTATATTATGAAACTTTAGGCCCAAACCCCCAAAATCAAAATCGAGTAGAGAACACTTACCCCAATTCTTGTGATGAAAATTGCTCTAACAATCACCTCAATCCGAGTCCCACGTCTCAAAATATGAAGAAAGAACCAAAACCTCGATTTATAGCTTCTGCCAGCATTTTTGCACCTGCGGCACATTGTATATTTGTCTTTCAGCTTCACGTAAATTTCTTTACCTCTATTCTCCCGTCGAGCACTCTCAATCTCCAGAATAACTGTCTGCAAAACAGAAAAAAGAAGTTAGAACCTGAAAAAAAGCTAAGGCATAAGGAAAAGGACGGATAACAGTCGTACTTACCCTGAGAGCAAGACCGACGATGTTCTTCGATAGAGTACCGTCGGTTATCTGCTTGAGGGTTCACCCTCGGCTTCAGAACAGAGAGGACCGAGAGCAGGGACTACCTCCTCAGTATTTACAAGCAAATCACGATCCATTGGGATCGTGATGGTTCTAGAAGCCCCTCCATCCTCACCTCGAGTTGGGTGAGCCCCTCGTCAATCATTCTCAGCTCATTCAGGTCCATGTCGGAATCAGATCCGACGTCCTCTTCAGCGACGGCTTTTCCTCTATCACCGACTGGAGAAGACACATCTACGACAACCCTGGAGGGCGAAGCCTCCTCGTGCCTCGGAAGTGTAGGGCCATCATCAAGTGCCACTATCACAGCCGCCTCCCCCTTGGACGTACCAATGCGTCCATGGCCACCTCTTCGAGTTGCGGAACCTCAGTGCTCACCCCAGTATCCTCTCTTATTTGAAACGTCATCGTCTCTCTGAGAACCAAGTCATCCCCCAGCGAGTCAATAGCGAACGAGACTTCTCCTCTGGCGTCCACGACCCTCCTCTTGCGAGGTTTTAGATCCCCATCACTGGGGGAGACCTCGTCGTCCTCATCAATCAAAGAAAATAGCTGAGGAGCTAAAGCAGCAGTTGGGACAGAGGCGGATTCTTGGACGGTAGCAGCCAGGATGGAGGTAGGTGCAGAAGGCACAGTAGCCGCAACGGGGACAGAAACTAAGGGCGTAACACTCCTTTTCCTAAATGAGGGCACATGCGCCCTGATCCTTCAAAAATTCCCCCTAACCAAACCTGAGAAAGGGAGAAACATAAATGTTGACAAAGCCGACCAACATACAAAATGAGGCAACGACCACAACCAAAAGGGGAAGTTACCTGTAGAAGAGAGAGTCGGTCTGAACTTCTTAAAAAAGCTCGGTCAATCATGAATCCCTACGATATGAGAGAGAATCTGCCCGACCCAAAATGGACGAAGAAATGCAAAAGGTAAAAACGAAAGAAATGTTTCGACTTACGTGTATGATTCCAAGCCTCAGGGAAGCCGTCGGCGTTGGCCACGACGTTCTCAGTTCTGACGTAAGAGAAATCGAGCCAGAACTGACGGATGGCCTTATCATCCATCTTCACCACCAGGCATTTGCCTCCACGATGACGGAGATTCAATATCGTCCCCCTATAGAAGCTAAGGGCGAACAGGTGCACTAAATGCTGCAATGTCACCTCAACACCGTCGAGCTCAACAAACTTAGTCAGCATCTTGATCACCTTATAAATATAGGGGCGAGCTGAACAGGGCAAACGCCATAGTGGCGGTAAAATTCCTCCACCAACGGAAGGAGGGGAAACGAGCAACCGATAGCGAATGGGTAAGCGTATAGAGCACAGTACGCGGGGACGGTGAACATGCACTTTGTCCTCCACTGCCAGGATCAGTTCAATTTGCCCGGGAAGGCCGAACTTAGCTTTAAATTCAGCTAACTAATTGGGCTCCATTTCCGATAAGAAGGTTTCAGGTGCCGCGTCTGGTGATTGATGGAAATCAGACCTGGTTTCGGGGTTACGGGGGACGATCTCCTCCACCGAAGGAAAAGATTCATTCTCTACAGTAACAGTTGCATTCTCCCCTTGATCAGGAAACACAACCGCCAACGGAATGGCATGACTCCCTTCACCAACATCATATGAATCATTTGACAAGTTTATGAGAAAATAAAGAAAGGGACTGGGAAGAGAGTTTAGGACACGGTGAGAGCAAAATACAGAGAAGAGAGGATCAGAGAGAGAGTTTGAAGACTCAAGGGTTTGGGAGAGTAAAAATTTCAAATTCGGGTTTGGCTACCCCAGTTTATAGAGATTGAGGCACCAAATCCGAAACGGTCTGTCATAATTGGCACCAAACCCAAAACGACTCATCATAATTGGCGCCGGAATCAAAATGGCAAATCCCATTGTCACACACAAATCGACGCAATGTGTCGGGAACAAGCATCATCATGACGCATAATGTCATGACGTCGCCCTTCTCTTGGACCAGATGGCTCCAACAAATCACCCAAAAAATTTAAGGGATTTGAAATACGCGGCCCACAGAGAGCCACATTACCTGCTCGCTACAACGACTACGACCCACATTATTTGTTCAACAAGTTCGACCTTGAATAGCATTATCCACTCATCGAGCTTGCCCCCAGGGACGACCTCAACAAGCGGAGGGACTAACTGTATGGGCCAAAAATTATCCTAGTTATGTTTAGACCATATCAGCATTAAGAGGGCCTTCGAAGGCTGCCACATGTCACCGGCATTACTTCGACAAAAGGCTTATTCAAGGTCGAAGTGGTCTAACAAGAGATGAAGGACTGGGTCGAGGAGTCAATAGAGATCAAGGTCGAGGACGAGCACTTTTCTTAAACAGAGTAATAACGGCTAGTTTTAGGATAAGACTTTAAAGAGAATATTCTAGTGAATATTCTCTAGATCTGTACTATTAGGGTTTTGTGGCACATGTCCCCTTATAAATAGAAAGAGACATAGTTATATGGAACATGGAACACTCACTTGTAAGACAATACATTGACATTCTCTGAAGATTCTTGCTTTATTACTTACATACAAAATATACTTTTTTCTTGAGATCCTTGTCTAACTTTTCTCCCATGATCCAAGAAGAATTCGAAATATTCAAAGGCTCATCAATCATTCATCATTGCCAGAAAGAATACCCAAGAATTTCACCCTTTTCGGGTGACTCACATGTTCTTATTTACTTAAATGTCATTCGTTGCTATTTATTGTTATTTAATGCTATCTCCTTCATTTTTGGATCATTGGATATTATCAGTATTGTCATCATATATTGCTACTTGGATAATATCTGTATTATCTTGCTATAAAATCAGTTAATATATCTTTTGGATATTAATATTGGCTAAGATTAACTCTATTTTATTAGAAAATCTAATTGTTTATACCTAGATCTAAATTTTGGGTTAAACAATATTCACAAAAGGATAGCTGGATATATGACAATCGCATTTATAAACTTGTTGGAAGTTACTTGTGAAGTACAATTTGAAATTTGTATAGAACTTTATAAATAAAAATATCAACTTTGTCAACTTTGGTTTAATACAATCATCACATTTTGAGAAGCATTAGAAGGCATAATGCAAATTACAGCAAATCTCGTTCCATTATTTTCTTAACTTTTTAAAGTAGAAAGGCAAGCATTAAATGTTCTTTAGCCAAGAATGATAGGACACACCAGGTACAAAAAGTGTGGAATTCTATTACTCTGGCAAGGATCAACAGTTCCCAAACTAAGACGAACAGAATAAATTCACTATTGAAAAGAACTCTTCTAACTTGCTCTCACTCCTTTCTTTTCTTGTATTATGATTTCTTTCGTTTTGTTGCCTATTGAAACAAACAGATAATGAATAGTTAACTAGCTCTTTTCGTTACCAATTGAAACCAATAGTTTTGCTTCTTGAAAAAGTTGAAGTCAGTGTTTCCGACGTGCTTGTACGGCTGAAGAAGATTGTAATGCTAATAAATTGTATAGCACCATAACTTTTTTACAATGAGTTTATGTTGAATTATATTGGCTTGAACATTTAACACATTTTAAAACTTCAAATTCCTAAACAAGTTGACTTTGACTATTTCTGACCAACTTAGTGGATGAAAAATGAGTTTTACCAAGACAAAAAAAAAAATACTACTCTTCCAAGCTTCAGTGGGTATATCACCTTCGATAAAATGATTAGCTATATTAAGTAATAAAAAATCGTGGAAAACAATGTGATCACCAAACCAACACACTCAATCAATTTTGTAGAGGCTAAACGGAAACTACGAATTAAATCTCCTGACAACCAACTTGTATCGTTAAAACAAAGAAGCTCACTAGAACTTAAATGGGAAAAACAAACGTGAGAAATGAAGATTTAATTAGAGCAACAGCTTTTATGGTAATGATGAAAGGACCAGTCTATTTAAATATAATATGAACCACTTTTATTCTTCTTTAAGCTTGCATGTGAAAGCATATTATTATTATTATTAAGTTCGATAAACACTAAAAGAAAGTGCGGACCTCTCTAATCTACTACAACTTAGCTACGTTAATCACATAGAAATTCACGTTTTTCAGTTGCACCAATAAATGTCTTTAGATTGCTACATCTTAAACAACTAAAACATACGGCACCCAAGGGTTTGATATAACGGTCAATGAAATGGGTTGAGAATCATGTGGTCTTAGTTTCAAATCTGAGCCGAGGCAAAAATGCTTGGTGATTTTTTCTCATATGTCCAAGTTATTATAGACAAAGTTATTTGGTACCTATATTGATAGGATGTAGTAGATACTCGATGAAATTAGTCGAGATTTGGCACTCGGCACTCGCACTCAGTAAGTACCTGCGCTCATTTGGGGGGTGTACAGACTCCGGAGGGCTTCTTCAGCCGAAGCGAGCTCAAATGTTGGAAGGACCAGTGCATTTAATATAATATGGTGGCGTCGTGGTTCCTTCTGATCCAATCATATCCCCTTCGTGGCTTTCCTTTAATTGTTATGCTATCATCTGCTTGAATTCTTGCTTTTCTAATTTCCGGAAATACATTAACAGCTTCAAAGATGACTTTCTTGAGAGATTGATGAAAAATCACATCCATTATTCCAAATTTCCATTCTTTGATGTTTGATCTGAGACATATGAGCCACCTTCAAGAAAGAAGTAGGAAGTTCCTTCCACCAAGGGAACAAAGTGGAAATTAAAATGGCCACTTGGCTGCTGTGGGTGGGGAAATGGGGTTTGCCGATATCAAAGGAAAACAAATTACGGACACAAATCTTCAGTTTCTTCATTTTAACAGAAATGGACCTTAAGTATCTGAAATAATGAGTCAAGCATGAAACTCTATAATAAAATTGAGTTTTGAACTCATAATATGGCTCGGTTTGGGAACTTTAGGATTTGTTTGATGAATTTTCAAATGGAGGCAACCCCCAATCGGCTGGGTTGAAATCAAGTAAAGAACTCAAAACCTGATCAGCAACTTCATGATATGAACTGTCCAACCTTGCATCTGGAACCATAACCACTGACCTGCATGCAGTGCATAAAACCCACGTCAGTAGATGATGATACCCTGAGTCCCTGACCATGAGCAGAGCTTTTATACATTCGTATGGAAAACATATTTATATAACATCAAGGCAAAAAATCAGGAACAAAGTAGACAACAACGTGCTATGGAGATAAGAGCAAGATCAGTGACTTCATCTAAACATACAAGATATCTTCAATGAATTCTTGGGTATGCATCAGAATGAAAAGATGCAGGAGCATTTTGCTTTGTTGTACAAATACAGAATTGAATTTCATTGTCAGTAAGAAAGAAAAATAAGGATAAATATAGCAAATAACTGCCCCTCTTTTTGCATCTTCATCGAGAAACATTTCTTTTCTTCTTTTATTTTTCCTTTTGCTTCACCATATTTTTGCTGGAAAAAAACATGGTAAGCTGGCAGAAGGTAACTATATCATAACCTTTTTCACAAAAGGAAGGATGGAAGAGCAAAGGAGCAAAAATAAAAGAAAAATTAAAGTGATAGGAACTTGAGCACATCTCATTTTTAGGGTTGTAAAGGAAAATGTGCAAATGAAATTTGTGTTGGGAGTAACCCCCTACAGAAATAATATTCACAGTAATAAAAGCGAAACAATAACGTAGCACCGAGATACAGTAATTAGCAAGAATAAAAGAGTGACTACGACACCAAAATTTTTACGTGGAAAACCCTTTTGAATAAGGGAAAAAACCACAGCCCCGAAACGAGTAACTGATATCACTATAGCAAGGAATTTTACACTTTGTAGGTAAGAGTAAAATACTCCAAAGACCACTACAACACTCAAAAGAAATAACCCTCTTTTGATATTCTCACCTCACTACAATATCGCTCACTCTCTATTTTTTTCACAGACTATTTTCTTATACCCTGTCTGTGAAACCTCACTCTTTTTTTCTAACTCTCAGATATATTTTTTCTCTGAGATTGATGTGTCAAATGAGAAGTTGAAGGCTTCTATTTATAGGAAGAAATGTCGTAACCAAAAAACAATTTTGGTCAAAAAACGTTTTTCGGTGCCAACTACTAATTTGGCATCGTGCAGATTTTTCTTCTTCATTATGGGGATGGACCCCACAATCTTTTTCTTCTTTCTTCATTATCGGGATCGACCCCACAATCCCCTTTTTTCTTTGTTTGATTATGGGACTGGACCCCACAAATCTCCCCCTCCCACAATCTTTTTCTTCTTTCTTCATTATCGAGATCGACCCCACAATCCCCTTTTTTCTTTATTTGATTATGGGACTGAACCCCACAAATTTCCCCCTCCAGACTCATTCACCTGAATGAGGTAACACCGGACTTCTAGCTTGAGTGCATGCCGACAAGTTCTTTGCATAGCTCGAACTTGTCTCTTGGTACCACCTTAGTCAGCATATCCGAAGGATTCTCACTTGTATGGATCTTTTTGACCTGTATATATCCATCCTCTATTCTTTCTCGAATCCAATGATATCTCACGTCGATATGCTTCGTCCTTGCGTGATACATGGTGTTTTTGCTCAGGTCTATTGCACTTTGACTGTCACAATAAACGACATACTCATTTTAATGCAATCCAAGCCCTCGAAGAAACCGTTTCAGCCAAACCATCTCCTTGCCAGCTTCAGTAGCGGCAATATACTCTGCTTCAGTTGTAGAGAGTGCGACACACTTCTGAAGCTTTGACTGGCATGATATAGCTCCCCCTGAAAATGTGAACATGTATCCTGTCGTAGATTTATGATTATCAAGATCACATGCCATATCAACATCTGTGTAGCCTTTCAAGATTGGATCAGATCCTCCAAAACACAAGCAATCTCCAGTGGTACCTCTCAGGTACCTCAATATCCACTTGACTGCTTCCCAATGTTCTTTTCCTGGATTTTCAAGAAATCTACTGACAACACCAACTGCATGAGCAATATAAGGTCTGGTGCATACCATTGCATACATCAAGCTTCCGACTGCTGAAGAATAAGGAACTCTAGCCATGTTCCCTTTCTCCTCCACTGTTGTAGGACACATCTTCTTGCTTAACTTTAGATGACTAGCAAGAGGTGTGCTGACTGGTTTAGCATTCTTCATGTTGAAGCGTTCCAGTACACGTTCAATGTACTTCTCTTGAGACAGCCGCAACTTTCTATTTGTTCGCTCTCGAACTATCTTCATACCCAGAATTTGTTGTGCTGGGCCCAAGTCCTTCATATCAAATAAGTCGGACAAATCTACCTTCAACTTTGCGATCAGCCTCTTGTCTTTTCCCACAATTAATATGTCATCCACATACAACAATAATATAACAAAGTTATTTTCATAAAATCTTTTGAAGTATACACATGGATCAGAATAGGTCTTTATGTATGTATGTTTGACTTTTCATGAATGAGTCAAACTTCAATTTGCACTGCCTTGGTGCCTGCTTCAATCCATAAAGACTCTTATTCAATTTGCACACCATGTATTTCTTTCCAGCTACTTCAAATCCTTCTGGTTGCTCCATATAAATCTCCTCTTCCAAATCTCCATGAAAAAATGCAGTTTTCACATCCAACTGCTCCACTTCAAGATCTAGGCTAGCTGCTAAACTCAAAATTGTTCGAATAGAAGTCATTTTGACAACAAGTGAGAAAATTTCGTTAAAATCAATACCTTTCTTCTGTTCGAAGCCTTTAACCACCAATCGGGCTTTGTATCTAACCAGCTTGACATTTCCATCTTTCTTGAGTTTAAAGACCCACTTACATTTGAGTAGTCTTTTACCCTTTGGAAGTTCAACCAGCTTGTACGTGCCATTTGTCTACAGAGATTTCATCTCTTCTTGCATGGCTTTCATCCACTGGTTCTTTTCTAGATGGGACATCACCTCCTTAAGACTTTCTGGCTCTTCCTCATCACTGATGAGGACATACTCCGTGGAAGGGTACCTGCATGATTCTACCCTTGGCCTTTCTGATCTCCTCAGAGGTTGAGGTTGTTCTTCTCCCTGAGTGGGGTGATCCACTTGCTCGACATCATCATCAAGTTGCTCCCCCTGTTAAATAACCTCACCAGGTTACTCCCCCTGCTCGACAACCTCGTCGGTCATACTTTCTGCACTTGTGGGATTATTAGAAGTAGAAGGAACAGTAACAAGGTTAGGAATTATATCATTCTTGGATTTCTCTGGCATATCATCAGCAGTTCCAACTTCACTTTCTCGGAAGACTACATCTCTGCTTATGATGACCTTCTTCTTTACAGGATCCCACAATCTGTATCCGAATTCTTTATCTCCATATCCGATGAATATGCAAGGAACAGATTTATCATCCAGCTTTGTTCTCGACTCCTTTTGTACATGTGCAAAAGCTCTACAACCGAACACCTTCACATGCAAGTAGGACACCTCCTTGTTGGTCCAAACTCTCTCCGGGATGTCAAACGCCAACGGAACTGATAGACTCCAATTGATCATGTAACAGGTTGTCTGAACTGCTTCACCCCAGAATGACTTAGGAAGTTTAGCCATTCTGATCATGCTTCTCACCTTCTCCACAATGGTGCAGTTCATCCTTTCGGCTACGCCATTGTGTTGTGGGGTTCCAGGAACTGTCTTTTCATGTCTGATCCCATGGCTCGAATAGTACTCTTCAAATTCCCTTGAAGTGTACTCACCTTCATTGTCACTTCGGAGACATTTTAGCTTTTGTCCTGTCTCCCTTTCCACCATAGCATAAAACTTCTGGAAAACTTGAAACACCCGATCTTTGGTTTTCAAAATATAAACCCATAATTTTCGTGAAGCATCATCAATAAAAGTAACAAAATATTTGTTACCGTCCATCGATTAAATTTCCATTGGACCACAAACATCAGAATATACCAAATCAAGTATATTCAATTTTCTTTCAGACGATGTCTGAAATGAGACTCTATGCTGCTTATCAAATAAACAGTAGTCACAGGGTTTTACCGTTGTACCTTTGGCATAAGAAATGAGTGGTTTCTTGGCAAGAATCTGCAATCCCTTCTCGCTCATATGACCCATTCTTTTGTGCCACAAATCTGCAGAAATCTCATCTTATGCCGCGTTCAATTCACCTTGGCATATTTCTGCATTTGTCCTGTACAACGTACCATGAGAAACTCCCTTTGCAATCTCCAATGATCCCTTGGTGAATCTCCACGTTTGATTTGCAAAATAGTTCTCGTATCCATCTCGGTCTAAAGCAATTCCCGAGATCAAGTTCATCCACAAATCAGGTACATGTCACACATCCTTCAGAACCAATATGCATCCGACATTTGTCTTGATACAAATGTCACCAATCCCTGCAATCTTTGGGTAACACGCTGAAATCACCTGCTACATATTTGCAAAAAAGATCTCTTACCGGTGTGGCATGGTAAGATGTTGCTGTATCAACCACCTATTCTGACTCTGGACCTGATAAGTGCATACATTCCTCTTCCTCATTTATACAGAGGAAAACATTATCATTGTTTTGTACCATGGCGGTTGTGTTGTCATTATTTTTCTGGCCACTAGTTTCACCTTTGCCCTTCCTTGGATTTGAGCAATCTCTTTTGAAGTGACCTGGTTGATCACAGTTGTAGCAATTTCTAGCTCTTGATTTGGATCGATTCTTAGACTTCCCACGAGCTCCGGATCTACCATAGTTGCTCGAACTCCTTTGATAACTCCTGTCTCTACCTTCTGTGATGAGAGCATGTCCTTGATTTTCAGGCTTCTTTCTCATCTTCTCATTGAGTAGAAGAGCCGATGTGACATTTTTCAACACAATGGTAGTCTTACCGTGCAGGATGGTTGTTGCCATATTATCGTACGAAGATGGCAACGAATTCAACAGCAAGATAGCTTTATCTTCTTCCTCGATTTTCACTCCGAGATTGGCGAGCTGTGTGATTAGTCCGTTAAACATATTTAAATGTGACAAACAATTCGTACCTTCACCCATGTGTAGGGCGTATAGCTGCTTCTTCATG